CCAACGGGAAGGGGGAAGGGACCGACCGAAGGGACGGGGTACGTAAGAAGTTCCCCTTCCCTAACTAAAATTTAATTTACTATGTCAAACAAAAAAAAAGTAGTGTGTGTGTGTAAAGATATATATATATATATATATATGCCCATTTCAAAATTCAAATAATATACCGAGCAGGAAACATTACAACAGGTGGAACTGCAATTGATTAAGTTATGTTAGATGTTAACAACGCTATTCAATTAAATTTATACCTATATGCATTTTAACTGAAACACCACTTTTTGTGATGCATATTTAAGAAGGTATTGTACCTTCTGAAGGAATATTGCTTACAGTGGAAGACTAATTTTGGACATAATGTGGCCACTTGCAAACGAAAACATATGTCAAACTCACATATCAGCAAAAAGGAAAGAAAGCAGAACTGCCATTAAAATCTGTCAACATAAAATATAGGCTTTAGCTATTGGGTAAAGTTTCATTGCCAAATACTTTGGAAAAAAGATTTCAAGATGATCGGCATTGTTACATGCCTATTTCTGAGTAAGCACGTATTGGGAAACTAAGTTTTTATAACATGATTACAACAATTCTTTATGATCGACAATTTGTATCTGACCAGCACCACTATCAAACATACAAATCTTCTAATACACATTTAGATATATACATATCTGCTCCCCCCCCTCCCAACTTTCAAATTTGTTTGCCACCTGTGCCAGTGGTTAAGGTTTTAAACGTGAAGAATGGTTTGTGCTTTTGAGATTTTTAAAAACTTTGACAGAAAGGTATGAAAATGTGCAAAACTATATATGTAACCTGGATTTGATGCTATGGTTATTTATCCTTACAGGCAACAAGTAACAATCACTACACTTTTACTTATAAATATTACATTTACTATGGCTTTAGCACTTTGGTTGATATTGGTGGATGGAGAGAAAGTCTTAGCTATTCAAATAATTAAATCATTGAATGCTACCTCAACCACTGCTCATTCTTATTTACTGTTTTAAAATTACTCCTCTATAGAATGCTTGCACTAGGGTTTAACTGCAATATAATTTATGTACTAACTAATACTAAATAATGAAATCAATTAAAAATTTTAATGTCATGTTTCTTTCTTAATTACAGGTAGACATTCTACAAGTAGATTTTTTTTTTAAAAAATTTAATATCAATACATCAAACTTCTCAACAAATATTACTGTACAATTTTACGACTTAACAGAGCATGCAAATAAATTGATGATACAGAAGTACTAAATTTATTAAATTTTCTGACAGCTATGCATACTTATTGACAGATCAAGTACTTGAGAAAATTTCAACAAATACAAAAGAAGCACATTACCTTTATTTAAACATTTGTGTTATTAACCAAACATTTTCCTTCAAGGTTTACAATAAATGATTTTAATTTTACAAACATTCCAAAGAAAATGTGCTATAACATTTACCTATCACAACTCATTACATTTGCTAGAATTTGTTGTAATATGGGAGAAATTGTAGACAGTTAGAACATTAACACACAAACTTTTGACTAGAGGTATTTCTTGTGGCATTTTTTAAATGGTATGGTAAATACAATTTATTTTTAGTTAAAATATGCAAAATGGAAAATTTTTCCACTTTCCAAACAACCTCAAATAAGTATATTAGAAAAACTGATTTTAAAAAGTAACATAATAGTATGGATTATGCATAACTTACTTTATTCTTGCCTTATATCATCTAACACAAACCTAAGCTTCCCATCTTTCAAAGTTATCATTTTATTCAACCTCTTAAGTTATGGTGAGTCAGCTGTTTTTCATGGTGTGTTTGTTGACTCAAATGTAAATTGCATAATTAACATACTCATTACAGAATATAAATAACTTTCTTCATCATAGATGTATATATTCCAACACAGGCATAACTATTTAACCTTTGACACTTATCTTTTTATTCAACTCCAGCAAGGTTATGCTAGGTCAATTGTTTCCTACAGTGTGCTATGGGCACTGACTCTACAGATCACATAATTAACAGTTACTATTTGATATAAATAACTTTCTTTATCCTAACCTTACACACTCCAATATAAGTCTAAGCATTTATCAGACCAAATTGACTTATGACCATATCTGTTCTCAGTAGCAGTCAGAAATTCCTACACCCTGTGCTACTGTTCTGTGAACATCTGATCTACTATCATCTAATAATGGCTGGAGACGGCTTGAATGGGTAATGAAGAAAAACTTTAATATAAGTTTAACATAACAGCTAATGTATAACGTTTCGACAAGGTTTTGTCATCATCAGGTACCTGATGATGACAAAACCTTGTCGAAACGTTGTACATTTGATGTTATGTTAAACTTATATTAAAGTTTTTCTTCATTACCCATTCAAGCAGTCTCCAGCCATTATTAGTCTCAAAGTGGGTTCCTCGTCATCGAACTACTATCATCTAGTTCAGCAGCACTTGCTGAAACTTGCCACATTCTAACCAAGTAAATAAGATGCAAATTAGTATATCTCTTTGAAATTTATAGTACTAAATTTAAATAATTGAATATGTAATTTAGTTATTTTTGACTATAAAATATTTTTGTAGATTACCTGTTGCTTATGGGTATAGCATACATTATTAATATTAATTTTTTATTCTACTTTTGTAGAATTTTAGCAGCTCTTCTGGTAGAAATTACATAATTTTACTAAACAGTGACAGATAACAAACACTCAACCTTCGAGCAGAGACTCTATAAGTTTTATAAAGACATAAAGTAAAATATACAAAAGAAGAAAAGAAAAACTTCATTCCTTAAATTTAATTTTAAGTGAACTTGAAACTGAAAGCTATCTGTTATGTTAACAAACGATCAAGACTTCAAATTTTATTTTTAAGCTAGGCAATAATTTCACTAACATGACTCTCAGAATTACATGTTGAAATTTGTTAAATTATTTTATGTATGTACACATCTATTCTGATAATTCAGTTATTTAAAAAAGGAAACAATACTTACAAATACAACCAACATCAAACAGTAACAATGCAGCTCTTCACCTAGTGAAAAATAGGCCTATCCCCTCATCTTAATCTTAACGCAGTACCTTTATTGTTCATCTATTAGACCTAGCGGCATACAAGAAAACGTATATAAAATATCTGATAAAAACCACAACGCCTATAGATTGTATATAATATATATCATAAAAAAACTATCATATTATTTTGTTGAGAAATTACCCAATTACATAAAAAACCAATATAATCAAAGCTAAAAACCATAGTTTCTAGCAAGATCTTTCTTTGAATTACGAAATTCCTACACCACCATGCAATTTAGTATGAGAATCACAATAACTAATAATATTGTTTTATCGTTGTTCTTTCGTTGGCTGATTCTTATAAATTATCTGGTGGAAATAATTCAACGCCCAGTCCACGTAACGATAATACATAACTTCTTCCTTTTTTATCCTTCTTACAAGCTTGAACACTTGTACATTGCCTTAAAATGCTGTAGGCCTACATTACAAGTGACGTTAACTAATGCAAAACAAATCAACTTATTTGCACAAAGTAACTGCGATAGTTAAACATTCTTAGAACTTTCCAAGCTAATAAACAAATATAGCTTACAACCCAACCATCTTCCTGGATTATGAACTCTCTTGAAAAATCCTAATACAAAAAATAAGACACTATCCTAAACTGTCCATTGACCAAGTAGCTTTGTTTGTTTTCTCTTCTAACGCTCGTGGCATACAGATAGGATGGCATATTGTCCCTTGTTGTCATTAGCCACCCTCTTGCTAGGAGGTTCTCCCTAGATAGGCAGTATCAGATGAATTCACTGGTAGTTCCAACCTCAATGATCCTCTAAAAGGAGTCTAATCAGGAACTCCAGGCTCCTCTTCAAGTTGAGGTTTCACTGACAAGCTCTTTTCTGGAGTTACCTAGTTGGCACAGTGGATCGTCTATTCTTTAAGATTTTGTAAACCACATGATTAATCTTTTCCAGTACAGCATATGGCCCCTCCCAGCACCTACTAAATTTTGGAGTTCATCCTTTGTTGTAGAGGGGATTGTACAATGTACAACCATACCATGTCACTATGATAAAATCCAGTCATACTTACACTTAACATTGTAATGACTTTTCATTTTATTGCTATCATATTTAAGTCTCTATAAGGTATTCGTGTATTTCACTGATGGTGTTACTTAGTCTCTTTACTCATCCTGTGTAAGACTCTTCCAAATCAGTGTTCTCTAGATGAAAGTATAAAAGGTCCAAAGGCACTTTCATTTCTTTCCCAAACATCATTAATGATGGTGTGTTGCTGGTAGCTTCATTTACTGCTGTACAATAATTCAACAGCAACACTTTAAGATCTTGATCCTATGTTGTTTAATACTCATACCCATACACAGCGTGGTCACAAGTAAATAGACACCACCTTTTTAGAAAAAATGAAAATTTTCAGTCATATTCACATGAATTGATATTTTTATAATTTAATTAATATATGGTAGATATTCCTTTCGCTTCGTGGAGTTCCTTAATCCTTTGGGGCATCGTGAGAATCATCTCGTCAATTTTAGATTGTGGGATTTTCGCCCACTCTTGCTTCAAAACTTGGAGTAGATCGCTCTTCGAAGTTGGTTTTTTGTTGTTTCTTGACTTGCCGGTCGAGTATGGCTCAGAGGTTTTCGATGAGGTTCATGTCAGGAGATTGGCTCGGCCAGGGCAACTTCTGGATACACTTTCTCTTCCTGCCACTTTTGGGTGTTTCTAGCAGTGTGACACGATGCTCCATCTTCCTGGAACAACGTTGTGTTCATGTCCACGAAACCCGATGAATAAAGTGGCAAGAGTCCCCCCCCCTCAATATTTCGACGTATTTCGCAAAATTTATGTTGCCAACGCACTTCACTAAGCTCGATCTCTCACCAGCTCAAACAGCTCCCCAAACCATCACGCTGAAACCACCATACTTCACAGTTGGCTGCGATCTGTTGAGTCAAAACTCTTGGTGAGGCATTCTCCAGACCCATATCCTTCCACTGTCCGAAAATTGAGCGAATCTTGATTCGTCTGAAAACAATACGGTCTTCCAAAAGTCCAGAGGCTTGGTCATCATATCACTTGCCCACTTCTTTCGTCTGACTATGATGGCATGTCTTAATAAGGGCTTCCGTCTAGCTGCTCTGCAACGATAACCCAATCTGTGGCGAATCCGTTGATCAGATTTTAGGCTCATCCCACCAACTTTGGCCACTTCTGCAGTCGTTAATCTGGGATCCATTTCAATGCTTCTCTTGACAGCCCTTTTTGTCCTCTCCGATGGACCAGGACGACCCGGACGCTGCTCAGTTGTTTCCTTGCCGTGTTTTCTGAACTGCACAATGATTCTGTTGACTGTCGAAAGCGGGATTCCCAAATTCTGCGAAATTTGCCGCTGACTTATTCCATCATCTGCTTGACCAACTATCTTTCCTCTAAAATAATCTGACAATTCGTGAGAACCTTGAGTTCTAGGCATGTTGTAGCACAAGATAATTAGTGTGCGGACCATTTTCATTGATATAGTGCTCTGTGAACACAAATTAGTTAGCATAAGTCAGTTAAATGACGAAAAATTAGGTGTCTATTTACTTGTGACCACTCAGTGTATATATACAGTAAGTTATATTATACTTTTTATTTAATGTTAGTTGTATTAAGAATATTGATTACAATATCAATATCACATCAAATCTTGAAACAGGTTCTTTAATAACAGTCTTCACAATAGTTTCTGTTTCCTGGTTAAGAACAACATATGTTTCTGGCCATTTGGTGAAATAATCCATCATAAATATGATACATCTATCTATATCCACTGTTACTCTGTGGGAAAGGGCCAAGCACATCAATAGCAATTCTCTCCAGTGATGCTCAAACATAGTACTACTGTATCTGCCCATGTTGTTTCTTTCTTGAACCTTTCTACTCGCAGCACATTTTAAATGCTTTCCACCAATTTCCCACAGACACCCCAGCACTCAACCCAGTAAAAGCATTCTCTTACTCATTCCAATGTCTTCTTAACACCCAAGTATCCAGCCATTGGAAGGTTGTTGCTATGAAATAATGCTTCAGAACATAGAACTTGGGAAGTACTAACTGTAGTCCTTGTTTCTTTCCCTTGGCATCTTCCCATTTCCAACATAAACAAAACAAAAGGAATCTCAATGTGTCCAATACATCTTAGCTTTAGGGTTGTATGGGGTGATTACCTATTATCTTTCTGCCCTATTCTTAAGCCACTTTAAACTCGTATATCTTGTCTAGTAGTTTTTATTTGGATGCTGGACCATATCCGTTCTCCATCCTCGCTTGTGGATGTCAAATTTTCGATTATACCCTATTGTATCTTAGACTGGTAGTCTTCACTATCTTCTGCTTCCCTCTTTTCACAGTTTTTGCATTCTCCATTTACACATAGTTTTTTAGATAATGGATCAAATTTCTATGATTCCATACAGAGTTGTAAATAATGTTAAAGTTGTATTCCTTAAGTTTCTGGAGTCATCTTACTATCCAGTCTTCTGGGTTACGAAAGTTGACCAGTCACTTCAGTTCGGTATGATTTGTCTATAGCATAAATTATTGTCTATATAGATAATGTTGGAAATTACTCAAACCACCTTTAGTGGCTGCTTTCGAGTAATACAGTACTTCTTTTATGTGACATTCATTGCCTTACTATTATAGGCAATCACATGTTCATTTTCGTTTTGAACTTCTGACAAAACTACCCCACTGCAAAATGTCTTATATCTGTATCTAAAATAAATGGATCTTCTAGGGTTTGGTATGCTAATACAGGAGTAGTGGTTAACTCTTTTCATCAGTTTGATGAATGCTTGTTCAAAATCAGCAATCCAATAAAACATATTTGGTTTTCAAGTATTTCCTACATCTTTCCTCAAAGATAACTACTTATTATTTTCTTTGCAGTGGAAGTACTACCTGTACAGCCTCACAGCTTGCAATGTCCCACCCAGATTTAACTCGAATTTTATGGTTTGTCGTATTCATGGTCTTAACGATGGCGTCTAAATTATTCAAAATACAAGTGATTCATCAACTGTTAATGGAGTTTTTGGTTCTATTATAGCCCATCACTAGATGTACGTTTATTTCTAAAATCCTCGTATTAAGTCGTCCAGAAATTAATGTTGCGTTTTGGAGCACTTTCGTTACTCCACCCCAAGAAAAAACAACAATGTGTGTATAATAGTTAAATGATCCGTTTAAACGTCACTTTAGATTAGCCTATATAATGTGTAAAGTATAGTATACTCTAATGGCGTTGTTTCCCTTCTTGTATTCAAACAGCATTACATGCCGATTGTGTGTCTTGTCGTGTGCCATCACTATAAGGGTCTATAGCCACAAAGACTGACAAAGAAGTTTATGGAAATGTTTTGAACGTTCCTAAGTGGTTCAGCAAATTTCATTCAGGTGACTTTAGCCTTAAAAACTGTGATGGCAGGGGCTGACATATTGAAATTGATATTGATGCTCTGAAGACACTTGTAGAGTCTAACCCAAGGTAACACACACACTTGTGAAATGGGCCTGAAATTGCATGTCTCTCATGAAACAATACATAAACATCTAAGGAATATGGGAAAACTCTATAAAGAAGGTGTTTGGGTGCCTCACAAACTCTCCGATGATCATTGTTTCCAACATGTGAACGTCGTTTCGTCTCTTCTGGTGTGTAATGCTCGTGAACCATTTTTGGACAGAATTGTCAATGGTATTGAAAAATGGATTCTCTATACGAATATTAAATGCCAAAATCAATGGCTCAGTCCCAGACAAAAACAACTTCCTACCCCAAAACCTGAACTTCATCTGCAGACAGTGATGCTTGCATTTGGTGGGACATCAAAGGAGTAATTCATTTCGAACTCCTCAATCCACAGCAAACTGTCAATGCAGAGATCTATAGTCAGCAACTGGAACGTTTATATCAAACCCTTCATCAGAAACGCCCTTCACTCGTCAGTCGGAAAGGTGTTCTTCTTCTACATGACAATGCACTTCCACATATG